AAAGTTCTAGTTTGCTGAGTGCAGCGAGCAGAGAAAACCCTGACGCCAGCAGTGCAATAAAGCAGCGTTGGAGTTAATTCTGTGCCATCTGTCTGTCGCTGACCTAGTCGATCAGACACCACAAGTGGAGCTGTTATAAAATTATGCAGAATCCCCTGGAGTTAATAGGATTTTGCATACTAAAAATGTTTACTCATGTAATCAGGAGCAAGGAACATCGAAGCATCTCGTATGTACATAATGAGAACGGCTGTAGCTGCAGCGTCTATTCCTTTGAGTAACCTCCGTTCTGTTCTTTTCTCAGAAATGGAAAAGGATGATTCTTTTGAATTGCTGCTTAGTGAATTGATGGTATGAAAACTGCGCTATTCTGTAAAACAGAAGTATCCGGACATGGAGAAATTGGTGTCTTGCTTGCAAAGCCTGCCAAAGCTTTATTTATTTTCAGGAAAATGAGCAGTAGAGTTTGCATCTAGCATTAGTGTCCAATGACTGTAGTGTAATTTTACCACCACAAAAAAAACCCCAAAAGATGTGCATGTGTTCACTTCTTACCAAATCATGGTGCTTATTAAAACAAGCATGGGTTTAACGGGTCATATGGAAGGAAAACTAATCTCAGCTGAACTCTGGGCCACTTAGTTCAGGTATCCCACACTGTGCGCATCTCTGCCTGGGATCTGGATGTCCTTTTGTCTTTTCTAGCAGAGTTAGTGTTGGATTGGCATCACCAGGTGTCGAGGCCATGAAAAAGCTTGTCTGTATTTCCCAATTAAGCATTTAAGTTTTTATTAGCCACCTTTGAAGAGATGTGTTTCATCTGGACTGCTGGCTCCCCTGCGTTAGCAGTCAGTGTGGAGTGCAGTGGATGTCACCCATAACTGAACGTCTGACTGTCAGCCTCAATAGATGGTGCTGCTGATGGGATGCTCTCCACTATTACCGAACAGGGCTCAGCAGACATCTCTGAATGTTTTATGAGGGATCCCTCCCTGCTAATGAGTTTTAGGACTTGTATGGATGGGGGGTGAATCTCCTCCCTCTGTCCTCCCCATGTATGTTCCAAGCAGACGAGGGCAATTCCTGCATCCCCATCCTTGCTCTGAGTGGGAGAATTTTTTTTTTTTTTTTGTTAAAGGCTGACTAGCAATTAGAGTTCAGCTGCAGCCTGTGCCACATCATTATACTCTACAGCCACTTCTGTTTATCAATCACTTATCCCTCCCATCTTGGCTGGGTGATCTAAGTACCCTAGACGCTAATTATTCTGTGCTAACAGGTGGAAAAAAATCCATCAGCGTTACAGAGCTGGAAGTGCTAGCTGATAGTACGCGGTTATATACATTGTGCTTTCAGAAAAACCACGATACCCTGTCAGTGTCCATAGCTGCTTAGTTTTCCGCACATTGTAAGTGCCCCTAGATTTAGGTAAAACAATTTCTTACCTATCTGGCAAATGTGAATCCAGTAACTCAGGAATCTGAGTTTAGCAGTGTTTCCAAGCTGATGAAATTCTGTTGTGTAAGTTGAAATGAACATACACCTTGTTTGTCCCATTTTTCCTTTTTCTTGCAGTGAGCAGAAGCTCTACATGAATAATTTGTATGTTTTCATATGGGCTATAAACCACCTGCAAGCTTAGAGCTAATAGCATTAATAATTAGTGTTTTTAAAGGATGTATGCTCAAGTATACAGAAGAACTATTCTGAGGTGGCATTTAGTGACACTTTCTAACGGCGGAGTGGTACCTGGAGTGGTTTCTCTCTCAGATGTACATTATTGACCGTTGCTGCCCCAAATCAGCACAGGTTATTAATGTTACACGGATGGCAGGAGGAGCAGCAATCTTCCAGGTCCGCTGCAGGTAGAATCATTCCTTTCGGTGTGTTGGCTGTACATCTATTTTCAATTGCTGATATTATTTTTTTTGCCAGATTTGAATCATTTGAAATGAAATTTTCCGTGCCTGGTCTCTCAGGCGGCATTGTTCGGATAAACAAAATGATTCAGCTCTTTTGGAATCGGGGTGTGGGAAAACATGTGGTGTTTTGCTCCTACTGAAAAACTCGGTTGACCCACCTCTCCTTGTCCCATCTCCCCTGTCGTGTGATGTTGGTTTGTTTTGGTTTGTTTTCTTTAATTGCCCTGCATGCTGTCAGGGATCTCCACGTTAATCACGTCGCCGTATAAACCCGTTTGCCATCTGACTCAAACACAGGGGCTCCAAAAGCAGACGGCGTTTTTGGAAGCTAAGCTGGCTGGGGGGAATACCAGCTTGGAGATGGGTAAGAAAGTATAAAACTGGCTGAGAAAAAAATACAGTGAATGGAGCAGGACCAAGCTTGATAAAGGGTCTTGGGGAGATTTTTAATCATCAAGAGCAGAAGAGAAGGAAAATCAGATTAGAGGGGAAATGGGGACTGTCGGTATGAAACGGGGGTCATAGAATCATAGAATGACCCG